CCACCACCACCACCACCACGACGCCGATGACGACGACTGCGACTTGCACGGCGATAACGACGACGCTTAAGACGGCGGCGCCAAGCAGCGAATGTGCCACCACAACAACCACGACTACATCTGCCATCATGTCCCGCTGACTATCTCTGTTCTGACCACTACAAGGCTCCGCCAAAGATGCTGGCAGCTGCCCGGACAAGTCTCTGGCTTGCAAGTTGATGGCCACAACATGGCCGTCACGATCGCACACTGTTGCCTTAGTTTGTTGGGTCGGGAATGTTCTCCAAGCTAGAATCTTGAAATTGGAAAGTTAATATGAGCAGCCGAGTTGGCCAATTTGATTTTATAATTCTCCAGTTGGTGGTGCGGCTGCTTGTTATTTGAAGAAGCCACTCCTGCAAAATGCTGAACATGAAATTGTAAGCTTCAAGCACAACGAGAATACCCCAAACAGGCTTCACCAAGGTTTTGAGGAGTGAGTCGCTCGTTTGCCTCGAGGTAGGTCACAAGGGCGACATGCTATCAAACCTGCGCTTTCAGCCGCCAATCCCAGTGCCAGGAGTATGGAGCCCAGCAACGCATCACAAGCCTCAGGCAGTGTTGTGGTACTTGTGGATCTCGCGCCTGTAGTTACCGTCACTGTCTGGCTGGTGCTGGTTTGTGTTGTGACGGTCTGGCTTGTTGCTGTATGGCCTAATGACGTACTCGTGGTTGTCGGCGGTGGGGCCTGTGTACTCAGCGTAGTGTTCTCATCCAACACGCCTGCTGCAGCTGTGGTGATGGTTGTGGTGGTGCTTGTAGCTGTCGTGTTGGCGGTGGTGGTGGTGCTGTTGCTGCTGGTTGAGGATGTTGTTGTCGTTGGCGTCTGCGAGGTGTTTACCTCCGTGGTGCTAGTGATGGTGGTGTTGCTGCTGGTGGTTGCTAAGCTGGCTGCTGTAGTGGTTGCATTGGGGTCAGCACTCCATGCTCTGGTGAAGAGGCCAAGCCAGCAAAGACGCCACAGCAACATCGCACCAATGCGCAGTTCGATCAAGTAAAGTTTCCCTCTTATTCTCTACTGGGGCGGCTTGCAAACATTCTGGGCTGCCAATGCAAACTGGAAACGGGGAGCTGGCTTGTGTGAGGCCCTGGTAACCAAACATTTGCAAAACCAACAGGACTTCAAGTGGTAATTCTGCTTTTGTTACCTATCCTAATGACTTGTAGACTGATGTGGTCCAGCAATGAAATCCGCTGCATTCCAAACATACTTTCTTACTCGGTGTGCATTAGGCACAAGCATCAAGGCCTCCTCCTGCGTCCAAATGCTTCATGTGATCGTAAACAGCTCCGACGGCATGCATCTCCACTAGAAGCATTGGTTCGGATGAATGTGCCAAGCATGTAAGGGCTTTGACCCCCATATGGCAACGGAATCCAGCTCAACACAAACAATCCGCATGCGTTTGTGGACCAAAGCCTAAAGCAAGAACCTTGTCGCCACGCACGATACATGTGACTTTGGAAGCAGCAGCAGCAGCAGCAGCAGGCAGCAAGAGCAAGCTTTTGTGAGTGACAAAGATTTTGATGGCTAGCTGTGCGCTGACACGAGCTCGAAAGGCGCTGCCGATGATAGCTAGGAGCATTTTGTTACTGCTTATCAAGCCAACTGGAGAAGATCTTTCAACTCTCCCTAGCTGTAATGCGGGGATAGCCAAGGATGCCCATCAGCCCGATTTGTGCGTGACGCTTTGCACTGAGACATGTTCTTCTGGGGCGATTGTTGGGCTATAGGCATATGCCTCATCCACACCAGGGCACTAGGGCTTTGCTTTTGTGATCCTGCGACGTTGAGCAAGCGTTCGCTGGCGGCCGTTGCGGCCGCAGCCAGCAAAGAGTCCAAAGGGATGGAAGCACTCAGCTCCTCGTATGCCGAGATTTGGCAAAATCCCAAGCCTATTTTTGCATGAAGTTTTTAAGGGTGCAGAATTAATTTGCGATTTTTTTTTTTTGTTTTTTGTTTTTGGCTTGTTTTGAT